TCAATAATGAAAAAAGAATAATGACTGAAGTCAGGCGATCTTGGTTGGAATCCTAGCCACTCACTAACTGCGTGACCAACTCAAGGCAAATTACTTAGACTCCCTGAGCCTGTCTTCCTCAGGAAAATATAGTTGATAACATTGCCTAACTCATAGAACTCTAAGAGTAAATGGGGTTTTGAAGAGTGCCTGGCACCCAAGCAGCACTATATAAATGTTGAGTAGCCATAAATACTATTTTTTTTAACTTTGGTACCTGGGATTGTTCCCCAGGGGTGCTTAACCACTGAGCTATATCCCCAAGTCCTTTTATATTTTGAGACAGGGTCTCACTAAACTGCTGAGGCTGACTTGGCACTTGCCATCCTTCTGCCTCAGCCTCCCACTTCACTGGGATTATAAATGTGCATCACCACCTCCAGTTTACTATTCTTGCTGTAATTAGATAAATCAGTTCACTGATGACCATCCTTAACCTCTTGTCTTAATCATCCCTCCCGATTCCACCTTTCATATGTACTGACCTTTCGTCCTTGATGATTTCTTTCTTTTTTGATATTGGGTTGTAAAATGTGGACCATTTTCTATTAACTCTTAAATAAAAATGAGTTACTCTTGAAAAAAGACTACATTCTCTTGGAAAATGCATTTTACTTCAGCTAGAACTAGAGCACTTAGTTCCTCCTCAGCAACTGGCCTACTTTTATTATTCCAAATAAAGCAAGACCACATCTCTCTTTTCTACCTAGACCACTCACTTATGCTCTGAGTTTGATCCCTTCTCCCACTAAGCTTTAAAGATCATGAGAGTTTGCACAAAAAAGCAACTCAATAGGAATGCACGTGCACATTAGTTCCTGAAGTAACAAAGAGGTGTCTACAGAACACCTTCTTGAAATGAAAGGGTTAGCAAGTAAATCCCTCACAGTTATTCCACTTAGAGACCACACTTGTACAGACATAGGTCATTCTAAACTGTCTTGCCCCATCTCAAAATGAGTAAGGTCATTGAAGGCATAGTCGAAGTCTTCATCAGAAACTGAATCCAATAGCATCCAGTTCTATGAATATAGACTGAGTGCATTTAGTAATTTTTAACTGTCCATTTAAGAAGCTAGTCAAAATGAGCAGAAGCAGTATTGAGAGTTGTTTGTAAAACAGCCTCTGCCCCAAGCATTCTTGGAATGGTAATATTGGTCGATGTACTAATAATAATAGTGTATTCCCCAGGGAAAGGACAAAAGTATAGCAGCAAAGAATCCGGCCTCAGGAGTCAAGACTGACTGAATACAGATCCCAGCCCTATGACCTTGGGACATTTATCCTCCATCCTCCTCCCTCAGTAAATTCTGAGCTGAAAAATGGAGAAAATCTCAGTACCTACTTCATAGGACTCTCAGGAGGCCTAAATGAAATAACATTGTAAATGCTTAGAAGAGCAGCTGGCCATCAGTAAGTTATCATTTATAAAGCATTTTCCATTCGCCAAGGAATTTACAAAACATTTTGTATTCACCATCTTCATTGTCACAACAATTATGCTTTGATAAAGAAACTGAAGTTAAGAGAATTTCAATAAATTTTACAAGCAAAACACTAGAGAGAGAGAAGGAATTAAAATCCAAGTTTGCGTAAGTCCAAAGTCTGAGCTTTGATCATTCAATGCTAACTTCAAAACTTCTTATTTTAAAACAATAATATCGGGGTTGGAGCTGTAACCCACTGGCAGAGTGCTTACCTAGCCACATGTAAGGCACTGGGTTCGATCCTTAGCACCATATAAAAATAAATAAAGCCATGCTGTCCATCTACAACTAACAAAAAAATTTTAAATACTAATATCAGTAATAAACAATGTACTTCAAGTCTGAAAAACTCAACTTATCTTGTAGCTAAGAACAGCAAATCTGTATTATTCATATATAAAAGGCATTTTTACAATGGGTACTACAAAGCCCCCTTCTTTACCTCTTGTTATTTTATTCCCACCCTGACCCTGAGAAATAGGAAGTGAATATATTATAGTCTCAGATTTTAATATAATGAAGCTACAACGAATGAACAAGCACTTTTAAAAATATACAGTGGGACTGGGAGTATAGCTCAGCAGTAGAGCACTTGCCTAACATACACCAGGGTCTGGGTCTTGAAAATCTTTCAGAGGTTCTCCACCTTTATAGCATAAATAGTGCCTCAGTACAGCATGCAAGCACCCACAGAGTTTCTGCCATTCTCTTCAGAACTATGTGCACAGTCACACACAGTACTTGCAGCTCCATTTAAACAGATCTCTCCACCTTTGTTCATGTAGTTCCGTCCCTTTGAAGTGGCAGTAGCTTTCACCCTAATTCCCTCAAGCTCTTTAAATCTCAGCTCTAGTGGCACTTTCTCTCAGGAACCTTTCAGGAACCTGCCATGCCTCCCTCCACCCAACCCCAAGTTAATTAGACTCTCCTCTGGGTTCTTTAAATGTTAGGTGCTGCGGCCATTTCAACTAATCTCTCCAACCAAGGTATAACTCTCTGACAACACATTCATTTATCATATTAAACTAACTTTTTGAAGGTAGAACGGTGTGCAATTCTCCATTTTCTTGCAGAAGCTTAGTCAGTATTATTCAATGTGGATAAATTAAAGTATCCCATGGGCCATATGGTCTTTTTAACTCAGTAGGCATTTTCACAATCTTCCACTTTTATGGCCTTAACCATCTCCTCTTTTATTACAAACATCCTCGAACCATTTCTGAATGTCACCCTAAGTCTTACAAGAGATGAATTTCAAAAAGGGATGAGTTTCAAGGACACTATGAAAATGTGCAATAAAATTAGAAATAGAATTTTTAAGGATATGTTTTCAAACTGTCCACAGCACCAGATTCCCTTAGATAAATGGTACCCTGATCACCACACTGGATAATCAGTGGTCAATTTAACTCATATCTGAATCTCATAATTCAGCCACATCAAGAATTTAACAAATATTTATGGACTGAGTATATCATCTATGAACGATTATTGCTTAGGATTTGTATTACAAACATTCAATTTGCCAGTATTTATCTAAAAGAGTAGTACACTTCCATACTGTTTGTTGTTTCACTTTATTTTGACTTATTTTTGAACCATTAGCATAATATTTAAAAGTCAATAACATTGAGGTCTCAACCACCCATTTCATAGCCATCCGCACAAACTTAGTGGACATTTCACACTAAATAATACATGGTCCCTGCCTTTAAGGTATCTATCATTATCACCTGTATGTCCAATGTCTCCTGTTAAAACTCCCAGTTCTCCCATTCCTTCCCTGCCTACAGTGAACACTGCAGGTTGGTAACAACTTCTCATGTCTTATGCCAGGTAGTCTCCCCCAAGTTGTATAATCTCATTCCCCAACAAACACCTATCTGATCTTTTCTCACTACCAAAAGCAAACTATCCACCTTTTGTAGAAACACACAGGATCCTGTTTTGATGCCCCAAGCTTGCCATGGGCCCCAACAACTCCCACTACCCTCCTTTCACTATTTTCTCTTTCTACTGAGGCAAATAACAGGTGTGGATAATGTCACCTCACTCTTAAGCCTCAGACCTACAGGTCGGTTTCAACCAGGCAAGGAGGCAGGCCTGAGTGACTAAACACTTTTTGGTATTTGAAGAGGATAAGAGGGGGTTGAAAGTCAAGACCAAGGCCACCTCTGCTCACACTCACTTGGATCCCAGCCTCCATCCTCCCTCCTCCTCTCCTTTCCCACTCCACCCCTCCTCTTCAATGGCTGAGTGAGCCCAGCCAGCATCTCACAACAGAAGCCAAAAGAAGCTCAAGGCTGTTGCCTCAGAAACCCTGACTAGAGAATGACTGGCTAGGCTCTGTTTGTTTTTCCAGTAATCAGAAAATCCCAATGGGGGAACCCTAAGGGGGTTCTCAGCTGCCTTGGTGGTTGTAATCCGGGTCTATACCTTTCAGGCCCTTGTAGAAAACATCCCAACTTTGCCATTGTCTTGGGAAGCAAAAGAAACTGTGAGGGGAAGGCCTCCCAGAGTTAGGTGTGGGGAAGAGGGGAGGAAAGGAGACCTGAACCTCTGGCTGCGGAAACAAACTCAGAAAACACCTAGCCTTTGGCCTATGCAAGAGAATGCCCAAGGACATACTCCATCCAGCCCAGTAACCATTTCCAAGAAGGAGAAAAAAAAAAATTATTGAGGGGATGGAGGAACAACCAGCCCTGGAAGTAACTCTCAGGCAGAGAACAAATATAAACAAACCACAGGACAGTGCAGGGTAGGAGGGTTTATTTCCACAGTGTTCTCAGCTGTCAGCTGGGTAAAACAAGCCATCACTTCTGGGTCAGCTTTTACAGCCAAGCAAGAGAATACCAGAATACCAGAAACACTGGCACCTCCCATATATTAATTCATCAGAAATACTGGATGGCTAAACCCTCAAAAGCACTAGGAACAGAAAGCTGCTGTGGATACATGATGCTGACAGAGATGCCACATAAAAAAAAAAAAAAAAAGACATCCAAGTTGCTGGAAATAAGCTCTGCAATCCTGGGTACCAAAACTCATGTCTCTACTTGAGTTAAATCTGCGTAGCTCAGTGCCCCTGAGCAAAAATGAAAATGAAGGCTGTTCTATCACAGCTTCCAGCAAATACAAGAAGAATCACTGGAGTTCATACTTTCAGGCTGCCTGCTTGGCTACAGCATGTAAATAGGAAAGTTTAAGATAGATGTCTGTAAATATTTCCTTGCATTTTTAATAAATGGATTCAACCAACCAGAAAGCAGGGCCAAACAGCTTAGTCACCAGCAGGCAGGCAAATTGCTCTATCGGTAAAAGGAGGCACAATGTAAACACAGTCATTTTCCTCCCCCACCCTGAGGTAAAATTACTGCCCAGTGCATCAGCTCCCAGATGTGGCCTCCAGGGAACAGATGGGTGCATTTCGTCAACTCTCATCCCCACTCCATCCCCTTCCGAGGATGCGCTTACCTGCGATCCTAAGCACAGCCCTCTCAGCAGGGTCCAGCACGGAGCCCCCCTGAATCTTTCTTTTCGATCTCTCATGTTTAGGCAAATTCCAGGGTAAGGTGTCTCCCGGAGCTGGAGATGCGGAGCCCGATTTCTGGCTGAAATCATCCTCGTCAGAAAAATCCGCAGAGGAAGACATAGAGCAGCGATAGGACGCGTTCCCGGAACTCTATAGAGGATGACATAGAAAAAAAGCATTAACAGGAAAACACTCACATAAGCTCATCGATTCAAGCAGCGCATCCCCCCACCCCCCACATTGGGTCCGGCATTCTGCACCATCCTCAGAGATTTAGGGATGTACACAAACAAAATAAAATGAAACCCAGAGCTCACCATGTTTTCTTGGCCAAGTCTCCAAAACAGTAGAAACAATACCCAGGCGGTTCCAATACATGAAGATTTGCACGGAAGAAGTGTGTGGCCTGCGGTCCGGCCACCAGCTCACAAATGACTGGCCCAACAATGAAGCCAGAATCAACAGCCTTCCTGTTACAAATCTATAGTATTTGGCTCCCCCACCAGGACAGGAGAAACATTTTCCATTCCTAGACTGCTGGTTAATTCATTAACGCAACTAACTCAAGTTTCAAAAACAAAGCACAAATGCAGGATGTAGGGTCCCAATTCCTTTCCGTTTCAAGTCGCCTCACCACTGGAGCCTTCTTTTAACTAGTTGAAAGCCCCGTGTTGTCCTCTTTATTCATTTTTCTTCATGAGACTGAAGCAGGTTCCCAGAAAAGAGCAAGGAGGGAGGGAGGGCTGATTCTGGGAAGAGCCTTTTCTTAAGACTAGGAGAACACAAAAGAGTGTTTTCAGAAGCCCAGGGCAGCTCCAATAAACAAACATCTAAACTCGGTTTGGGATCTTGACATAACTTAAACTTCTAGCATCGTAACAGCTGCCAATAATGTACATGAAAATGATGCAGTGCAGAGACAGGAAACAGATCCCTTCTCAGTGCCTGGTCCTTGCACAGTAAAATGAGAACTCGGATGCTTTTCCCAAAGCACTTTGTCTGAAGGTTATTCCCCCAGTCTCTAGCAGGAGCAAATCTGCAGGGTCATATCTTACATAAAGGGGTCACATCTTCCACAGAGAGGAAAAAAAAGCACAAGATGTTCATTATTCTTTCTTTCTTTATTGGGTTGCATCTGTGACTATTTAGAGAGCCACCAACTTACTAACAGAGGAGGATGTGATCTGGGCTGTGAACAGGGTCATAAATAAAATAAAGTATCATGGGAAAGGCTTTACTTTCCTATTCAGAATTTCTCTTTCTGAGGCTCAGGATGAAGATGCAAACCGGTATAACTTGAATTCCTGAAATGTAAGTTGCAGCCACGAATTCCTAAGAAGCAAGTCTCAGGCAGAAATCAGTGAGGCGTGCTCCAATCTGAAGCAAAAACACTGGGCCACTCACAAAAGCAGTGGCAACTGCCGCACAAACAGGCTGTGTGAGCAACATCCCAAAGCACTCACCCAAGGCCTGTGAAATAATCCATAATTGAAGCAGGACCAGTGATCTTACCTCAAACTATTCAAGCATGTAGCTACAAATGGTCAGCACCATCATTTTAAAAATTCAGAGTATTTCCCACAAAGAGAAGCATGTAATATTCATCTTTAATTCCTCCCCCCAAAAGACACTCTTCCAATAAGAAATTGCATTGCTTTGGCTAAATTAATTTTTTACTTAGATTTTGTATACTTTCCTATTGACAATAAAGTATTAGGCAAACTTGAGGCATACAAGTAAATAAAATTGATTTTCTGTATTGCATCTACAGTCCATAGAGAGTTGTGAGTGGCATTAAGTTGGTCACCGTATGCTATTATCAATTCAATTTATTTTCCATGCCTTTCTGAAAATTCATCTTGAGCTCTCTGAGGTTTTGTTATTGGCTGGATCTGTGGGAAAAGGTGAAATTCTTGAAGACTTTTAACAGGGTATTGGGTTTCTTTGGTAGCCTTCTGTCTTCCTTAAAATGGTTTCCTACCTGTCCTTACTTAAGGTCATCCTTTATCTGTGAGATCATATTTCTTGTTGCTTGCACTATTTTAGTGAATATAGTAATTTGATTGTTTATCTTTGCAGACAGACTTGGGGAATAACTGTTAAAGAACTCCTTTCCAAAAACCACCGGTTATTGATTTTTACGGAGTAAATTTTTTTAATGGCCAGAGTCTCAGCTGACTGAACAACAAAATGTGATTTATGCCATGACATACACACTATTAATCACATGTTGCCAGATGGGAACAGTTACTACCCCCAGACCCAAGGGTGTTGACTAGTACAGCCTCTAATCTGGTCATGTCATTGGTAAACAGATAAGAGAGAAAAGGAAGGAAAAACAATCAGCAACACTTCTTTCAGCAATTTATCACAGGAAAACATAGACCACACACACACACACTAAGGAAAACCATACATGTATATAAAGGGTAAAGTCTCTCCTGGCTACCCAGTTCACACATTTTAACAATCACAGTATTGGGTTTTTTCCCACACACATACACACACAAAAAAAATGATCTTTTTTTAATTATAAGACAAACCATACAAATTTAGGCCCATTGGAACCCTGAAAATGGAGAATGGATTTAAATGAAGATGCTTTGAAGTGGATGCATCCTCTAAAATTATTATATTCTTTCATGTCACTGGGAGTTAGAGGGAATAGTGTGAGAGTACTAGTCTGTTTTGTTTGTTTGGGGAAAGCAAACACATTTTCGGACCCAAAGTCTAGAGCCCAACCTTTGATGTGGGTCTTTGAAGGTAGAACAAAGAAAGAGGGCTCCTGTGACCAGCCAAATCCCAAGTTCCTACCTCTTATTTGCTCCAATACCTAAGGTTTGATTCCTATTAAATACAAATATCTATGTGTCCATCAATAGGGGATTCATTAGATAAATCATAGTATAGCCATTCCATGGGCTATTATGCAGCAATGAAACAAAAATGTTGTTGATATGCATTTAGCAAAGATGAAAGAATTAATATAAAATGACTCCTTAAAAAGTCTGTTCAAGTGTGAGTGCATGTGCGTGGAGATAAATTGATTGATAGATATTAACAGCATATAAACAGCGGTTATCTCTAGATGATGACAAAGATCATGAGTTTATTAAATTGTGCTTCTTAAAATTTTTTAACCCCAAACAAATGTACAAAAAGATTACCTAAAAGAAATGTCCAGGGAAAACCTCTATGAAGAAGCAACTTCGTAAACCAATGTTTATAACTCTTTTGGGCTCATGAACACCCTGAAAAATTAATGGAATTAATGGAATCTATGGAAACCTCTCTCCAGAACAAAGCAAATAAGCAATTACACATAAACTCTGCATACACTCTTATGGGATTCCTAGACCCACTGACCCACTGACCCCAGGTTAAGCCTCCAATTCACAACATCATTTGTCATCACCATTTGGCATGCATGTTGAGAACAAGAAAAATAGGAAGGAGCTGTTCCACAAAGAGAGGAAAGAGTAATTAGGGTAGTGAAGACAAAGTTGGCCTTGGTCATAATATTTTCAACATTCGACCTTTGCTTTAATAAAAGACTCTGAGCTACCTCTGGAGTGAGGTTGAATCTGCAGAACTAAAAAAAAAAAAAAGAAAGAAAGAAAGAAACACACTAGATAGTGATGAACAACAACAACAAAAAAAGCTGTACTGTGTCTTCTATCACCTAGTTATTAAAGTAGTTTGAACAATTGAATTAGATCACCAAAAGCTTTAATGTGACTTTCCTAATAGTCAATTCATTCATATGGTTACAAACAACCCAAATCTCCTAGAGCCAGGATAATTACATAATACAACATTTTTAGAAGGGGAACTGAACAATAACTTCTTTAATTGAAACCCCAGTGGGGGATCTGAGATAAGTACAATGGAACTGCCTAAATTGGATGTGGCCCAGCCTCAGCACCCTGATCTGTAGCAAAGTGCCAGGAAATTGTCTTGGCACTAGACATTCTCTAAGGGCAATGGGGAAACAAGTGCAGAGATAAGGATTTGTGGAAAAGCCAGACTTTTAGAATCCCAGAGATTGGAGTGCAGATTTTCACAAGCCCACAGACTTATCATTTGTGCACAATTTTTGTATGTGTATCATGAAGTAAATTTCAAAAAAAGAAAAGACAGAGAAAATAAGACAAATTCTGGGACATGCTACAAGACAACTGTCCTAGGTTCTGCAAAATGGTCACTGCTATGAGACATGAATACCCCAAAAGGGGGGACAGTTCTAATTCATAAAAATTGATGAAACTAAATTGAATTTTGGGTTCCTTTCTTTTAAGCTAAAAATAATACATTCCATATTACATAATTTTTACATTCTCTATAAACAAAAAGATATCAAAAAAATTTAGAAAAACTGAAGATCTACTTGTGTGTAAAATTCCCTTAATTAGGTTAAGGACAAATACTAACTTCTTTCATGTTATATAAAAATTCAAAGTATTGGGGCTGGGGATGTGGCTCAAGCGGTAGCGCGATCACCTGGCATGCGTGCAGCCGGGGTTCGATCCTCAGCACCACATACAAACAAAGATGTTGTGTCCGCCGAGAACTTAAATAAATAAATAAATATTTTTTAAAAAAATACAAAGTATTGCACAAGTCTACATAAAATTCTAGAGTTTTGTTTAGAAAGAAGTCAAAAAGGCAAGAGCACATTATCTGATTCTAAAGACTGCAAAGAAAACAATCTCTACCACAACAAATAAATATAGAAGAAAACAGTTAAGGAAAATATAAGAAAGTATGCTTAACCCCTTGAAGACAAAATGGGATAGGGTCAATTTGGGGAATCTTGTGCTTCCTTTAGTTAAATTTTTTTCAAAATCAGTTAAGCAATTCAAGTACTTGATCAGCAAATAAATAACTTAGCAAGTCCCTCACCTGGAAAGCACCTTAAGGTAATGGGAAAGAGGTCTGGTTTGGTGAGGCCTCACTGGCTCTCAGTCTTTCCCTGTAAGGGAGACTCCCAGCAGCCCTTAACTCTGAGAGGCAGAAGAGCCTGGGTGGAGCTAGAGAGGAAGGGGAAATCAGACAGAGGAGAAGCCAAAAAGTTCATATCTGTTCTAACTCAGGAGAGGAGGTTTTAGGCCAAGAGTTAAGAAAGTCAAAGGTTTCTTTCTAGGTGAAGG